CAAATATGAGGCTTTCTGCTCCCACAGAGATTTAAAAAGACTCGGAAACTCTATACAGAGTCGGAACCAACTTGCTGGCACTTAACAACTACAAAAACAGAGATATACACAAGGAGTCCCTGGTTGACACAAATCCATTTAACTACTAGTTGAAAGCCTGGCAATTTGAACCCAACCTGGTGTGGCACTATGGGATAATGCACTGGACCGCAAGGTCGGTTTGGACTGCAAGGTTGGCAGTTCAAGCTCACCAGTCGTTCTTCAGAAACCCTATAGAGGGTCCTCAAGGCCAGAAGTTCAAAATTACCAGCTGTTCCATGGGAGAAAGATGAGGCTTTCTGCTCCTGTAAAGATTTACAGCCTCAGAAACCCTATACAGGGTCGCTATGAATCGGAACAAACTCCATGGCACACAACCACCACCACATGAGTCGGAACCAACTTGACAGTACTTAACAACAGCAACAGCAGAGGTACCTTGGAAGACAGGCCTGGCAACCACTTCTGAAAGGTCAGCGCTTTGAAAACTCTATGAAGCAGTTCTACTCTGTGCTCGTAAGAATCTACTCAAAGGCAATTGTGATATTTAGGTTTTGTGTCACTTGGCTAGACCAGGATTCTCAGTAGTTTTGATAGTTAAAATGTAGCTATCATCTCCAAGATGAGATCTAATATGATACACTTACATTCATGATATGATCTTATGTGATCAGCTCTGATCTGATGTAATTGTTGCATATGTTATAAAGCCTCACTTCTAGGATGGTAATGTGGCCAGATAAAATCTACAGGATTAGGGTGTATCTTGTGTCAATCTCTTCTGAGATATTAAAAGGAGAGAGAAGTGAGCAGAGATAGAGAGAGCCCCTGCCACCAAGAGCCAGGAGTGGAGTGTGTTCTTTGGATGTGGAGTCCCTGCACGGTAAAGCTCCTAGATTCAGGGGAAGATTGATGCCAAGATGCATAGAGCTTTCCCAGAAATGCTGGGCCTACAGATGCTGAAAGGGGACAAGGACCTCTCTCCAGAACTAGTACTCTGAAATTGAACTTTGAACCTACCAAGCTATGACAGGATAAATTTCTATTTTTAAAGCCATTGACTTGTGATATTTCTGTTATGTTGTTGTTAGTTGCCATTGAGCCGGTACCAACTCACAGTGATCCTACGTACAACAGAATGAAACACTGCCCCATCCTGGGCCAACCTCACAATTGTTTCTGTTATGTTACAGCAGCACCAAATAACGGATTCAGCAACTGACAAAAAGACTCACCAAACCACTGGGGGTGGGCACTTGGGGGGAGCAACAGGGAAGGGACAGGTGATTTCACTATAGACTGCAGGTTTTGTAGTTCTGCTTATAGGACTGTTATGGAGTGAATTGTGCCCTCCCCCCAAAAAATATGTGTGAACATGATTCTCAGCTTTATATAATTATCTTCTACTTTGTGGTCAGGAGTAATTATCCTATATGTTATAAGTCCTAACCTCTATGATGATAACAAAGGAGCTCTGGTAGCATAGTTGTTATGAATTCAAGGTGAGCGGTTCGAAACCACCAGTCATACCACAGGAGAAAGATGAGACTTTCTGCTCCCATAAAGATTTACAGCCTCAGAAACTCTATGCAGGGTCACTATGACTCGGAACCGATTCTACAGCACACAACCACCACCACCACCACCATGATGTTAACAAAGTAAGATTATTGTTGTTGTTAAGTGCCTCTGAGTCGGTTCTGACTCATAGTAGCCCTGTATAGGGTTTCCAAGGAACAGATGGTGCGTTTGAACCGACCTTGCAGTTCACAGTGACCTTGCAGTCCAGTGTTCATCCTACAGTGCCATGCCAGGATTACTGTTATTCTTACTAAGTGTTGTTGAGTCATTCTGATTCATAGCAACCCTGGATAGGGTTTCCAAGGAACAACTGGTGGGTTTGAACTACCAACCTTGTGGTTCAAATTGACCTTGGGATCCAGTGCTTATCCTACAGCATCAGTTCTTATCCTAGAGACAAGATGCAATCTACAGGGGTAGGTTGTATTCTGAGTCGGTCTCTTTTGACTACCTCTGCAGTGCAGTAGATGACTTCATATAACTTTTCTAACCATAGTCCTTGTAACTTCCATCAAACAACTTTTTCCTGATGGGTCTAGGTAAGAAAAGGTGTGGAAGAAGATGCTTATAGAATGATATGATCCAGTTGTGGTTGTTAACAGTTAATTCTGATTGTAAAAACTTGGAACTTTAACATGGGTTTAAAATAAGTCAACTCAGAAGTGGGAGGAAAGTGGCAAAAGGATTTCACTGTCATCCGAGAAGAAAAGTCAGGAGTGAAGCATGTCCTGTGGACCCCATAATCCCTGTGTGTTGAACTTCCTTGACACAGGGACACAGTACTGGAGGAGTAGCAGCAGCTGAACCAAGAGTCAGAAAACAAGACAGAGCAGTGGGCTTCCCAGGCCCCAGAGCAAATACAGCTGAGTGACTTTGGACAGGAGGTTTGTTTGCAGAGTAGGGTGCCTCTAGGCATTTAATTGGTGGAGCTCAGCTTACTGACCTATTTAGGTAGAGCCAGGAGCCTTCAGGCTGAGGCTTATGGTGAAGTGGGGTGTCCTGTGGGCATTTATTGGTAACCCTAAACGTGTTTTAGGACTGACCAAGAGGTTGAGGGCCACATAGAGGCCTACCTGTGGACATGGCAGAGGAAAGGCTGTCCTGACTGGAAGAACTGTGCGCTGAACATTTCTGATTCTGAATTGTAACCAGTTAACTCCTCTTAATAAACTCCATGAACTGTGTGCATAGTGTCTGAGTTCTGTGTGGCCACTGTAAGGAACGATCAAACCCAGATGAGAAGCAGAGAGCTCTGTAAGAGGCACAGTTTGGTGTCATTTTTTGCAACCACTGAGAAAGAAGAGCCCAAAGTAAAGTGCGTCTTTTGGACCCAGAGTTCCTGGGCTGGTAACCTCCTAAAATCAGGAGATACCAAGAGTAATAGCCTTTCCCTATTGTTGGCAATCTGAATTGGGACTTCTAGTCTCTGAAACAGTGAGAGAATAAATTTGTTTGCTAAAGCCAGCCCCTTGTGCGGATTTGCTGTTATTGTTAGGTGCTGCTGAGTTGGCTCTGGCGCATAGTGATCCTATGTACAACATTGCCTCACAATTGTTCTCTTTTTTGAGCCTATGGGTGCAGCTACTGTAGCCATCCATCTCAACGAGGGTCTTCTTCCTCTTTTCTGCGGATCCTCTACTTTACCACACACAATGTTCTTTTCCAGGGATGGATCCCTCCTGGTAATATGTCCATGTACATGAGACAACATGTCACCATCCTCACTTTCAAGGACTATTCTGGCTGTACTTCTTCCAAGACAGATCTGTGCTCTTTTGGCAGTCCATGGTATTTTCAATATTCTTCATCAATTTGTTGTTGTTGTTGTTAAGTGCCGTCGAGTCGATTCCGACCCATAGCGACCCTGTACAGGGTTTCCGAGGGTGTAAATCCTTACGGGAGTAGAAAGCCTCATCTTTCTCCCGCGGAGCAGCTGGTAGTTTCGAACCACTGACCTTAAGGTTCGCAGCCCGATTCGTAACCACTACGCTACCAGAGCTCCATATTCTTCATCAATAACATAATATAAATGCATGGATTCTTTTACATTCTTCCTTATTCATTGTTCAAGTTGCACATGCATATGAGGTGAGTGAAAATATCATAGCTTGTTATAGTTGTAGTAAACTAAGATGGGGATTAAATCAATATTAGAATTTGTCTAGTCCTGGGTTCACCCTAAGGAACTCTGGTAGCAGAGTGGTTACTAATTGGGCTGCTAATCTCATCAGCAGCAGTTCCATACTACTAGTGGTTCTGAGGGGAAAATAATGAGATTTTTCTACTCCCGTAAAGATTTACAGCTTCGGAAACGCTATATAGGATCGCTATGAGTCGGGATCGACTCCATGGCACATAACCTCCACCACCATGTTCACCTGGGTGGCACAATGGACTAAGATTTCGGCTGCTAGCCACAAGGTTTGCGTTTGAATCCACCAGCCCTTTGCAGGAGAAAGATGAGACAGTTTGCTTTTGTAAAGATACAACCTTGGTAACCCTAAGGGGCAATTCTACACTGCCCTACAGGATTGCTGTGAGTGGGAATTGATTTAATGGCAGTTGGTTTGGTGTTCATTATTTTGAAGCCTGGAAAGGGTGGAGTAGCTAAACTGTGACCATTAACCTAGTTAGAAAAAACAGGGCCATCAAAGCACAGGGATCCTTTAGATACATTGCTGACCAGGCCAAAAAGTGCCAGTGCAGCTTAAGACGCTGGTAGCAGCGACGCAAAGGAGCTCTGGTAGCATAGAGGTTGAGAATTGGGCTGCTAATCTCATGGTCAGCAGTTTGAAACTACCAGTTGTTCCACGGGAGAAAGATGAGGCTTTCTGCTCCCGTAAAGATTTACAGCCTCGGAAACCCTGTACAGGGTCGCTATGAGTTGGAATCGACTTCACGGCAACAAGCAGCGACACAGGCGTGTGTGGAAATGGAGTGCAGCTCTGTCCTTGAGCATTATGGCTGAGACTCGGAGGACAAAGGAAGCAGGAAGGTGGCGTTTGTTCCAAAACACAGCAAGTAGAGTGCCGTGGCTGGCTACAAGTTTTCCAGTCTGGGGTCCAGGGGCTGGTGAGGTTCTCCCCTCAGGGATGGGAGACTGGCTTCACCCAAAGAAACTGCCTAGGGAACTTGAGCGCCCTCCCACTCTCCCTCAATTGCAGAGTCTGGAGGCTGGGCTTCCTTGCAGGGGGCGGCTTGCGCCCGCCCTCTCCACCTCCCTTCCCCGCCTCCTTCTCTCACTGGACCCGCCCCACTGGGCTGGGGGCCGTGTCCACCCGGGTGATTGCTGCTCCCCTCGCCAGCTGGCTGCCACGTCCTTCACGTAGCACCGGGCTCGGCGGAGACCTGGCGCCTGGGGCTCCATCCAGCTCCTCCAGGGAGGCTCGACATGCGGATGGCGCGGCTGCTGCGGGGAGCCTCCTGGGCCCGCCTGGGCCTGGGGCCGCGCGCCTCCTGGCTCAGAACCAGGCGCAGCCTCACCTCGGACTCGGGCTCCGCTCCCGCGGCTGAACGCAGCGTTCCGTGCCAAGTGGACTTCTATGCGCGTTTCTCGCCGTCTCCGCTCTCCATGAAGCAGTTTCTGGACTTTGGTGAGTGCGACCCGGGCCTCCGGCCTTTATGTGCCGCCAGGGTTGGGAAGCTGCTGCTGCCGCCGCCTTAGGCACGCCCCACCTCCCTTAGCGCCTTGGACACTTCCTTCCTCTTGCTCAAGTGCAGGCACTAGTAACCCGAATAAATAATTGGGGTGTGTGGCTTTTTTACTATGTATTGGTTGGAAAGCAAACGTAAAGGACTGAAGACGGAATGACCTCCCGCCTTTCAGTACACGTGTATGGATCCGCATACTGGGCCAGGCCCCTTTGGAGAAGCCGGCCTGCGGAGAGAGGCCAGTGTGTGGACAGCCCCCACTCCTATTGTGTTTGGGATCTGTTGCACATCTTACTTGCTCAGTTTTGCAGTATGTTGATTGTGTAAAATTAAGCATGATGATAAGTGGAGCAGGTTGTAACTGGCCGTGTGTTTCAGAGAATGTTTTCCTCAACTGTGTTTTGCTTCTCTTGGAATGTTTCCTTCAACAGCAGATTCATTTCGTCAGCAACAAATAAGTCTTGAGCACGTGTAAAGTGCATGAGTACAAGATGTGGGTTTAACCACATCACTTCCTTCTACTTAGATAGACGATTACTGTTGTGTTTTTTTTTTCTAGAAAGTCTGCAACAGATTGAGGGAGGAACTGCAAAGTTAGAAGCATTTGACTTTTGACTTTATTTGGGGAAAAGGACATACTCTAATAATAACTAAAGTCATAAAGTTGGGGTAGAAAAAATTGTCCTTAGCATTACAGTGCTTTTGGGTCATTTACAGATCAGTAGTGGGCTTGGAAGATACTAGCAGTGTTGGCAACTTTATCTTAAAAATAGTTTGTAGTGGCAGACTTTTCTGGCTCAAATCCCTCTGTTTTGTTTTTATCTTAAAAGCACACTCTGTATGAATGAATAAGGGATGAATTTGGCCTTCACAAGTAGGCCATTAAACTTTCACAATAAATTTTTTTTCATTTAATATTGTAATTAGTATCTCCAATCTAGTTTTTGCTACAGTTATCTCTGCTGAAAGCACAAGATTACTGTTGTTGTTAAGTGCTGTTGAGTTGGTTCTGCCTCATTGACTGCCTATGGGTTTGCAAGGATTTGAACTGCTGGCCTGTGGTTAACAGCCCAGTACTTATCCTACAGCATTACACTGAAATAATATGACTTTAAATGGAGCTGTGTGCCAAAGGACATTGAACAGATGCTCTGCTTAGAATTCTGATATGTGAATGGAAAAGAGCATTGTGCACTATAGGAATCTGCCTGTTGATTTAGAAGAAGGCTAGGTTTCGCTAACAAACATACAAAAAACCCAATAGAGTTGATCCCAACTCACAGGGATGTTATACAGGGTTTCTGAGACTGTAAATCTTTACTCGAGCACAAAGCCACAGCCTCATCTTTCTTTTACCATCGGAGCTGCTGGTGATTTTGAACCAGTGACCTTGCAGTTAGCAGTCCAATGGCTAACCCCCAGTGCCACCAGGCCTCCTTACAGGTTGCTGTCTAGAAGGAACTCTTGTGGAGTCGTAGGATAAGCCCTAGTCTGCAAACCAGAAGGCCGGCAATACAAACCCACCAGCGCTCCTTGGGAGAAATATGAGACTTTTTACTCCCAGATATATTTATATCTTTGGAAACTCTTTACAGGGTTGCTATGAGTTGGAATCCATTGGATGGTAGTGAGTTTATGAGTCAGACTCAACTTGATGGGTTTGGTTTGTTTGTTTTGGTTTATGTTGTTGTTGTTAAGTGTCATTAAGTCAATTCCAACTCATACATTGCAACCCTGTATAGGGTTTCCGAGGAGTGACTTGGTGAGCTTGAAATACGGACCTCACAGCTCAAACGGCTTTGCAGTCTGACGCATTAACCTACAGTGCCACACCAGATTGAAATTCCAGGCATTGGAAGGTTCTTCTGGATACCTCAACGATCCCTCATGGTACAGTGGGTGAAGCATTAGGCTGCTAAACCTAAGGTTGGAGGTTCAAACCTACCAGCCGCTGTGGGAGAAAGATGAGGTTGTCTGTTCCTAGTTTTGGGAACCCCAAGGAACAGCCCTACTCTGTCCTGTAGGATCTTTATGAGTTGAAATTGAGTCGATGGCAGCGGTGGGTTTTGGATACCTCAGAACTCTAAGACTGGGTGATCTGCCTCCAGCCCCCTGGTATCTTTTCTGTGCCCTGCCTTTAAGGTGATTTTACTTCTCTAGCCCCACCAGGTAACTTGCTCTTTATTTCTGCCTTGTGCCTTTAGCTGTCTGATGACTTCTTACAGTTTTCCCCACCATGTTTGGTTTCAGGATCTGTGAATGCCTGTGAAAAGACCTCATTTATGTTTCTACGACAAGAGTTGCCTGTCAGACTGGCAAACATAATGAAAGAAATAAGTCTCCTTCCAGATAACCTTCTCAGGACGCCATCTGTTCAGTTGGTACAAAGCTGGTAAGTCTTGTGTTTGTCATTTTGACAGCGTCATGGACCTTACTCACCTTAGGCACTACTTCGTTTTCACGCTAATTTTACAGTTGCCATTGAGTCAACTCTGACGCATGGTGTGTTCCATAGGGCTTTCAGTGGCAGATTTTGGGAAACTTGAACCCAGAGTTGCTGCTGGGTGAACTTGAACTTCCAACTTTTTGGTTAACAGCTGACTTTACACACCCAGTGATACCTAGGGTTAAATCATATATTTACCTCTTACTTGCATGACCTGGGTACACAACATTTCTCTCTGAGCTTCAGTTCCTTCCATTGTAAAATGAGGACAAAAGTATCTCTCTGAAAAGACCAGATGAGCTCACACATGCCTAGCCAGTGTTAGTAATGTCCATTCAGGCCTGTTTCTTTCACTCTTGCCTCCTGCTCTCTCTATCTGTGTTGTTTTTCCACAAAAAATGACAAGAAGGAGTGTTAAGGGTGTGCATGCACATGAGGTCATCTTTCTTATCAGGGTTAATGATATTAACTTGAAAGTGTTAGTTCTTTTAAGCAGTATAAATTCCACTCAAAAGAGTTAACCTGAGTTAAGTCTTAAAAGGACAAAAGATATTTCTCAGTGATTCAGGAGATTCTAGCTTTCCTTTTTGTCATCACTATGGTTTGTGAGAAGGAGCTCTGGTAGTGTAGTGGTTATGAATCAGGCGATGAACCTTAAGGTCAGAAGTTCGAAACTACCAGCTGTTCCGTGGGAGAAAGATAAGGCTTTCTGTTCCTGTAAAGATTTACAGCCTTGGAAACCCTGTACAGGCTCACTGTGAGTTGGAACCAATTCCTCGGCACATAACAACAACAACAACATGGTTTGTGAGAGAAATTGATCTTAAAAAAACAAAAGAATAAAGTATGGATGACTTCTACATAAGTGACATTCAGACACTATCTTGTCCAAGTATGGAACAAAATATAAAACTTTGGGTTAAGTAAGAGGTATTTGTTTAGGAATTATGGTGGAAAATAAAGCAGAAAATGTAACACTTTTCCATGGGAGCTTCTTTTCTTTTTTTTTTTTTTTTAAATCTTCATTAAGAATAAATATACTACTTTTTAAGGATCCCTGGTAGCATTGTTGGTTAAACATTGGGCTGCTAACCACAAGGACAGCAGTTCAAACCCACCAGCTACTTCGTGGGAGAAAGAGGAGATTTTCTGCACCACAAAAGATTTAACAGCTTCAAACACTACGTATGGTTACTAAGAGTCAGAATCAATTCACTGGCTGTGGGGTTTGTTTAGAAGTCTAGTCTGTGCCTACGACATTCCTATTGCCTGGAGTCGATTCCAACTCAGATAACCCTGTAGACAGGGTAGAGCTGCTACCTAGGGCTTCCCAAGACTGTAAATATATATATATTTTTTTGCCCACCTAGAGAATTTTATTCAGGGTGAGGAAGGTAACCTCTGTCGGAGAGAGAAGGCAGGAGGCAGAAGGGAAGAAAGGAAGAAGAAGAGGAGGGAGTCAATGGGAAGGGAGGGGATTTATATAGGTTCAACAGGAAGGAAGTGGTCATTGCTGGGGTGATTTAGCTCTGGCCTACCAAAAGCCATGTTGTCCTTTAAACTAAGCACCTTGTAGCTTAGGGCGGGGAAACAGACAAAATGGAATTGGAGGGAGGGGAGAGGGAAGAACTGGAAGGTATTGTAACATTGTAACATTTCCCCCTCTTTGGTTAAATAAGGAAAATGAATGGCCGTCTCTATGATCCATGCCCATGGGAGAAGGGACGAAGGTCATTTTTCTGTAGCTACTTCCCGCTGGCATTGGGGCGACGAGGCTGTCTTTGGTCTTTGGTCTTGGACCAGGGTTGGCGATGGCTTTGTCGTTGTTGGCGGTGTTGTCAGTAGCCATTGGGCTCTTCAATGGGATACCAAGAAGCGATGGAACCAGGTCAAAAGCTGGACTGGGCTTAGGCCCACAGTTCTAGGTCTTCGGAACCTGCGATTGAACAAAACGAAGAACACAAGGGACAACTGCCAGTAAAGTAACTAATAGTGGGGTTAGAAAGGAAAGCAGGGAATTTAATAGAGGATTATGGAACCAGCTAGCAAAACCTCCATTAATGGGAAATGCTTGCAGTTCCAGTAGCTATGCCTGCCCCAATACCTAGCGTTGCTACCAGGGGTAGGATTGCTACTTGGATTGCCCTCTTTTTCCGAAGCTATGCTGAGCATTATAGTTAGGAGGGGATGATGGTTCGAGTCCTCCAGCAGGGCTGTGGAAGGGCATAACCCTTGAGACGTGGAACCAGCTCTTGAGACCCTCTAACTTAACTGCTGTAGGGGTGGTTAAAATTACTTTATGTGGACCAATCCACTTGGGTTTCAAGGGTTCTTTTGGTAGGCTCGGAGGGGCAATTAGGACCATGTCTCCTGATTGGTAGGAGCAAGGTGATGCAGGAAAATGTGAGGGTAAAAGTGAGTCCGCATGTTGCCATAATAAAGTTCTTAAGTAATTTAAACAGCTTACTAAAAGAGATGGTGGAAGGGCGGATGCTTCAGATTTTAGTCCCAGAGGTAGGAAAGGGCATTCATACATTAGTTCAAAAGGAGAGATTTGGAGAGGCACTTTAGGCAAAGATCTGAGGCGTAACAAGGCTAAGGGAAGAAGTGAGACCCAGTCAGCACGAAGTTCTAGGGTTAACTTAGTAAGGACAGCTTTGATTGACCTGTTGGTTCCCTCCACCTTCCCTGATGATTGAGGGTGAAAGGGGATGTGGAGGTGCCAAGAAATTCCCAATAATTTAGCCAGTCCTTGAGTTATGTGGGAAGTGAATTCGGGGCCATTGTCTGACTAGAGAGAAGTAGGGAGCTCAAAGCGGGGAATAATTTCCTTGAAAAGGAAAGCAGAGACTGTGGAGGCTTGCTTGTTTGTGGTAGGAAAAGCTTCAACCCACCCAGAAAAGGTGTCAACTAGAAGTAAAAGATATTTGTACCTTTTAACTTTGGGCATGTGGGTGAAGTCTATGTGCCAATCCAGGCCGGGGAGCAGATCCCTGGCTTGGTGTGTAGGGAAAGGGGTGGGTTTAGAAGATGGATTTGTCTTTTGGCAAATTTTGCAGGTGGAGGAAAGATGTTGTAAAAATTGCTTAAGGCATATTTGGAATCTATATGAACCGTGAGTCTTTTTTCTGAAGCTAAGGTAAAGGCCCGTGTGAGGGCGATCAGCTCTGCTTGTTGATTAGTTGTTTGAGGAGGGAGGGAGCCCTAGTCAATGACTTCACTTTCAGATACAATGGCATAGCCTGCCCATTTGATTTTATCTTGGGAGAAAGAACTACCATCAGTATACCAAACTAGGTTGTGGGAGGAAAGAGATTCTTCCTGGATGTGTGAGTCATGTGGCAAGAAGACTTCTAATGCTTCTAAGCAATTGTGAATCGGTTCCTGGTCTGGCACAGGGAGTAGGGTAGAAGGATTAAGGTCCGGGCATAACTGGAAGGTTAATGAAGGATCATGGAGGAGTGAGGTTTGAAGCGAAAGAATCCTGCAAGGGGGTAAATCCTGTAGGTTTTTATAGTTTAACAGATCAGCAATAGCATGATATGGGATAAGACAATAGTTGGGGCTCCAAAAGTTAATTTTTTTGATTCTTGGATTAAAAGGGAGGCTGCAGCTAAGCTCCGCAAGCAAGATGCCCATCCTCAGACGGAAGGATCCAGTTTTTTTTGATAAATAAGCTACTGGAGCAAATGTAGGGCCTAATTGGTGGCCTAAAACTCCTAGTGCAAACCCTTTATTTTCAGACACATAAAGATAAAAGGGACTGGTAAGATCAGGTAAATAAATGCAGGGCTGGGGCTTCTAGCAGTTGGGACTTGAGCTGTAAAAATGGGGTAGC